CCCATGAGAATATGGACAGCGACGGAAACAAGGGGACGGCCACCGCGATCGATATAAGCGAACACCTTGGGAGCATATCCGTTTTGAGCCATGGCAGTCAGGGTACGGGAGCCTCCGTAAACGCAAGACACACCAAGAGAAAGAACGGAGACAAGGATAATGACGTTCATGAAGTCGGCGAGGCCAGTAAGGCCGGAGTACTCGCCGACAAGCACGAAAGGTGAGGCCTTTGCGTTGGAGTAACCGGAAATGTTGAGTCGGTCATCAGTGGACTTGATAAGAAGGCCGATGAAGAAAAGACCAAGGACGAAGAAGAGGGTGATACGCCAGAAAACCTGCTTGATAGCACCAGGCAAAGCCTTGGTGGGGTTCTCAGACTCGGCAGCGGCGAGACCAACAAGCTCAGTACCGGCAAAAGAGAAAGCAGCCGTGACGAAGACAGAGCAGAATCCCTTGAAACCGTTCTTGAAAGCACCTGGGTCCTCTCTCCAGTAGCGTGTGCCCCAGTACTCGTTGTATCGACCGTTGGATGGACCGCCACCACAGACGAGGACAAGAGAGATGAACATGAAAGCAACAGTAGCTCCGAGCTTGAGGCAAGATGACCAAAATTCTTCCTCGGCGTATCCAATGCCACCAAAGATGTTGATGAGAATGATGGCAACAAGGAAAATTGCAATAAAGATTCCAGGCGAGAGCTCATCATTCCAATATTCGATACAAACAGCACAGATTGTCAGTTCGAGTGGTAAAACGGTAGCCCATTGTGCGACATAGTTCCAACCCATGGCGAAACCCCAAGAAGGATCGATAAAGCGAGACGAGTAGATATAGAAACCACCGGACACGGGATACATGACGGCAAGTTCACCGAGAGCGAAGACTATGGGGCAGCTGTCAGTTTTCTGGTTGGGAGTGCGGAGTGAGGCGAGTGCAACATACCGACGTTGAAGATCATAGCACCAATAATGATGAAGTCGATGAGAACAGATCCAGGACCCTGGGTCAACATGTTAGTATCGGACAAGAACTGCAGACAGAAATCGACTTACGCCAGTGTAAAGGGCCTTTCCTGAACCGACGAAGAAACCAGCACCAATAGAACCACCGATGGCAATCATCTGAAGATGGCGAGGCTTCATACGGCGATCAAGCTCATGGTCACCAGTGTCCTTGCGGCGCTGGAAGGACTCAAGAGTGAGACCATTTCGAGTCCACTTGCTTTCCTCCTGGAAAGCGAAACCACCACCGGTCTGGACATCGCCAGGGTGCTCGGTGATGGTGGTGCCCTTCTCCTGGGACACATTGGTCGGGTTGTCGCTGGAACTCTTTGATTCCATCTTGACGTTTCCCCTGTGGGTTACTCTCGAAGAGTCAGGGATTAAAGAATGATAAGAAAGGTCAAGTGACCTTGGGTCTTTTGGATGAAGAAGAAACGGTGATGGGCGGGAACATCGGTCATCAACGAGGGAAACGAGTCTTCTTAAATATAAGTTGGACGCGGGAGAAGACCAAGACGACCCGGGGTCTCGTTAGAGTCGGTGCACTAGGGGCGAAGACAGCCGCCATAGTGGAAAGGATGAATGGATGCTTTCGAGTCGAAGTTCTAGTGAGGCCCCAGGTTTGACTAGACTAGGTTACTAGGCACGCCCCTAGTTTCCTGTATGTCGCCGATCACCAACAAGTTGGCAGCCTTCAAACGTAGAAGCGCAGTGGAGAGAGAGAGGAGAGGGTCCGAAGTGCCAAGAGCCGCGATACGGAGGAACATGGATGATTGGGGTAGGTAGAAAGATTCAGATGGCGGAGCGGAGACCATCACCGACCGACATGCGACCAGGACAAGGCGAAGGGGAGGAAGGGGCAACATGCTTCTGATTCGGTAGATTCAACGTCGATGTCGCGGTTATGCACGCCCCTTGTTTCGAGGGAAAGAACGACGCATGCAATGAGAATGAGATTTGGGAAGAGGCAACATCCATTGACAGCAAAAGGACTGCCCGGGGAAGTCGCAGCCACGATCCATGCTTCCCGTGCCGCCTCATCAAAGCGCATGGATTACTTTCTCTGTCCTACACCCCATAGGCTCACTTCTGCCTTCCAATTTCACCCGCCATGGCTCAATATTGCTCCTCGTAAGAAGGACTCGACCGTTTCTGAGACATTTCGCAGGCATTGACCAGGGGAAACACAAGAGAGCTCAAGCCATGCAAGACGATCAACCTAATTCAAGGTAAAGTGGGGACTTGGAGAGGAACGCTATCCTTGAAAGACGCTAAACCTTACTCCACTTCCGAGGAAAGGTACCGGTACATTGAAGAGGTACCTCTCCCGTGCTGTTGAGGCCCCATCAACACTTCTGACATTGGTGAAAGGCAAACGATGCCCCTCTTTGGTGTCTTAATTCTTCTCAGGTTGATTGAGAAAAGCCGAGATCAAGCCATTGCTATCTTTGTAATCTTTTACTGAACGATTCTCTTACCATACGCAAACTCTCATACAACCATCAAGACGTGATGAGACTCTAGCCATGGTTTTTGACTCTTCTGGCATCCAATATCAAACCTCAGCTGCCAAGCTTTCACTACTTCTCAGTCAGCAGTAGACACATGCAACCGTGAGTGCACAGAGCGAACTTTTGTTCCTCCTCTCAGAGATGCGCAGAGGTTTGGGGTCCATAGGTGACCAACACCATGTGGTAGACATTGCGGAGACACAAGAAGAGCAATTACAGTGAAATCCTCCAATCAACATTCCCATATTAGGTATTCGGGCCAGACATCAACTTGACGCCGTTTTGGGAGTCTCTGATTACCGAAATACTGGCTCAGCATGATTCCAAGCAGCTTGGCATCTGTCTCAATGATACCCAAATTACCCATCTCGTACTGCCCCCACCTGCTCTCTTAGGTGATACTGTATGTAATCTTGATACTGTCACCTCATGTCAGTCTTGAGGTAACTCGTGTTCGATATGAGCCTACCTGAATTGATCCCTTGGGTCACTGACGCTGGTCCTCGGTTTCACGACTCTTCACTCGTGCGATTCGCAGGTGATTTTAGAGTATGACAGGGCTAATTGGCGCCTCCTACCACATCTTGCAGAACCTGACAGGGGGTGGAAGCATGCGGAGAAAATAGCTTTCTTCTAGAAGGGTGGCGCAGTGACGAAGTGTCCATTACCTTGCTGTTTGGCTTCCCGATTGGCGCTAATGAAACCAAAAAGGACCTGCAGTCATCAGCACATGTCGATCGAACGAGTAAAAGGTTGATGAAGGGAAAGGTTGAAATGCTGAGTTGGTCGAAGCTCACAGACCCCGGGCATATCCCACCGTGGTGCGACATCAGCTATCTTTGTGGAAGGGACTGTGATAACACCAAGTCAACAGCAAAATCGCTGTTGCAAAATGGTCCCGAGCCCAGGTTTCCCGTTTCCCACTATTGATAGCGGTGCGCGGTTGTTTTGCCGCCGCGGCAGTCGGGCTTCCCAGAAAGGGAGCGTTCAGCTTCAAAGTTGTACATACAGCACATTACGTTTCATCCTCCAGATACTGAGATCTTGCTTTGAATCCCATCTACGGGGTAATACGTAACGGTTTGCTCTCAACTGCCTTACCCCGTGGGCAAATCGCCATGAATCTGGGGAGAGCTCCATCGTCCTCAGACAGAACCACCAGCAACTGTCCTTTGAGGAAGTTACTCAAAGTTTTGTACGTAATGCAATTCTTCTGACGAGGTTTCTGTGGTCACTGCTGTTGAGGCCCCGTTGTTTTGGCTTGAAGCATGGAGCACGGGCACGACAAGGCCGGACATGACCGGCTGGGCACCCTTGCAGTCCCCGCAAGGCCAGTTCCAGCGTTATCAAATGTTGCCCCTGACCTTGCAGGTTATTGTGTCCATTACATGAAGACACGCGACTCAGCTTGAAATGACAGTAAGAGAACAGTCACCACATCAAACGGTAATCGATAACCGAGCAGGAAAGCTTTTGTTAGTGTCTCTTTTGCATTACCCGTCCCGAGTTGGCCGATTTCACGGGCCGATGGGAGGAAATTTATTACCTGCAATAACCTGCGGCGCTTTCTTCATTTGGTTCAAGAGCCGCAGGGGTTGTTTTAAGCATTAAGCTTACCTTCAACGAGCCACACCTGACAACCCAAAAGTCAGTGTGTGTACGTGTAATTACCCTAGCTGCAGGTGCTACATTGTACAGTACATTGTGTGGTAGCCAGCGAGTGTTGACTGGCATGTGTTGGACTGATACTTACTTGCAAAGCTTATTACACTGGCTCTGACTAGTTACACATCACCAGCTGCTCGAGGATGCCCTCTATTCATTAATAAAGCCGACCTAGGTCTCTTTCAACCAAGGCCAAGAGATACATCAAGCCTCACAGCGCAAATGCAACCACCCATCGGGATCCCGATGCAATCTACTGCAAATCAATCAGCCTTGCAGATTTTCGAGAAAAAGTCGATACAGGGTAGCAATTCTGTCGCAGGTCAGCATTTCGAAACTGTCGAATCAGAATGGCATCTGACTCTGACGCGTCTCTCAAGTCTTAGTCCCAATACAGCAGGTTGGTTGAATCGGCCGCTGACCTTCCGCTCTAGGCATGTCTCTGCGCCATAGAACTTTATTGCAGCATGTCTTAGTCCCTTATCACTTGGCAACGGGTGATAACGAGTTGTTACTTGTCGAGCAAGGGGCAAGTAAGCTGTTGCATATATAAACCCCCAGTTCCGCCAAGACTCGAGCCAAGACTGTTGGCAAGATGACCGCTACATTTCAGGCTGTTCGTACGCTCAGTACGTACTTGCCCACGGTACAGAGCACTGCCTCGGTTACGTGACCTCCCGTCGATCCCGTTGCCCCTATCATCTCTGGGCTACTCGACCCTGCAGCATGTAGCTGTACCTACGCCGTATTCCTCACGATTCTCCGACCAGTCGCAAATGCCTCTGCAAATCATGTCGTCAGAAGACTAAGGCTGTTATGCTTAATGACCTGTTCGCCCCACGGATTGACCTTATCTAAACGACGCCTCGTCCGCCGAATGCAAATGCATCTAGAAGTTCCAAATCGCCAAGACGAACGAGTTGGCAGAAATCGGGGGTCGTGGGGTTGTCCTTGGCATTGGGTCTTCTTGCGGGCGCTGGTTATGTCACGGTAACACTGTGCTTTGGCCACCTCGGCGATGCCGCAGTTCACGGTTGAACTCTGGGTATATGGCATCGGGATGCAGGGTAGTTGGGTAATTAAGGTAAAAAATGCCGTAGTCGAGCTGGAGAGACCGTGGAATTAGGTGTCAATTGTCCAAGAGGTGGTAGAGAGCTGGCCGTTCTATCTTTGGATGATGCTCGTGTCTTGGCCAGATATTGTGCATGGTCAAGACGGATGGCTGTTCCAGGGTAAGGGGAGTGACCTCGCTGTCACATCTTATGCCCAGCACGCCGAGATTTTGGCAGAACAATGGAATTGTTCTTTTGGGGAAGTACAATTGATTGGCCATGGATTTCAGTTCATTGTCGAATGTGCTTTCTGGACCCGACACGCATCCTCCAAGCATCGTCAATCTGGTTATACTCAACTTTGATGCCGCTGGAGATAGTCCCTTCGAAGTCTCTTGGAAGAAAATTAAACTCTTGCAATACCTCAGCGAGGTGTATTTAGCAACACATTGACAATGACTGTGAGGCCGGCTTGTCAAAGTTGGAATATGCGCGGTTAGATAGAAACAGCCATAAGAACATCAGACAATTGATATCCGCAACTGTTTCATTGATGCAGCGTCCAACAGGACCCGAGACTTTAGCTTCATAACCAAAACTAGATGTTCAAAGACACTGATAAGACCATCCTCGAAAACCCTAAATCTGTCAAAACATTGTATTCCGACGAAATAGGATCGCCATTTTGAAGAGGTGAGCTGCCTCTCGAGGACACGAGTAACTTGTGCTGTCATTTCCAGTAGAAACTCATCATAGAGCAAGTATCATGATGTTTCCAGGGCCGTGGCAACCTCAAAGGATCGAACTATCATTAAACATCTGATAGATATATTCTACAGTTGTATATAGTTCTGTTTGTTGCAAGTTTCCGCGACGTGGCTTGAGATGAGTTGGCTGGCCACGCACACGCCTACACAATGCTTTAGTAACCATCACACAGTCGAAAGAGTTTGCGACGTATTTTAGAGATACGCAATTCTTTTGGGGAGTATTTCTGTCATATTTCTGTCTGGTGTTTTAGAGTTGGACGCCGGAGAAAATCAGATATCAATACCATTCACCACCATTCGTGCTCCCCGTGCTTCAATAGTGGTCGATTTTGCCGTACAAGTTACCAGTTAGTCCGGGCTAACTTAGCGTTTAGATACTCCGTTGTGGTGCCTTAGAACTTGGGATAAGTCGCCGTTCGAGAACTGAATTCTATGGAACTGTCCTAAACACTGATGGTGCCAGTACTCAACTCGTAGACTTTGGCCAACCAATGCAATGCAATTCTTGGCCCCGATTTAATTAAGAGCAGAATATCTAAAGGATAGGCAAACATTTTTATATCATGGCATGTTGTAGATCTCGTTGACAACAGACGATAGTAAGTGTTTGACACGTGGGCGTCATGCAACGTGGAAATGATCGTATCAGAAAGAGTCCCAGTCCACTGGGTCGGTCTAGGCTTGCTGCAGAACGCCACCGGGACGTGAACCGCCCTCTAATGACATGAGGTATCTGAGCCTCCTATACAACACCTGATGGCAGACATGGCAGGGGATGCAAGACATCGGAACCCCGCGCCGATGAGATACGGAATGCCGCATGATAGTCAACGTTATCATACTTCAAAGTCTCGCCGAGTCGAAGTGATGATAAGAAAAGGATTGCCTTTTTATATCAGAGAAGTTGATAACACTTGCCTAAACATAGTCGAGTTATCTTGTTTATCAGATACTGAATCGAAGACTTTGGGTACCGTCATGAAATTGCCTCACGGTAATAGACGCCAACTAACTCTCGCCGTTTTGCCCGATTCACCCCTCGCGGTACCCTTCCTCATTCACGTCAAAAGTGGCTTATCGCCCAACTTACTGATACCATGCCTAGCTCGGCCCAGCTTCTCCTCACCATCGGCAGATAACCACGATAAGATCAAGATATGAGGCAGCGATTTCATCATCGGGAGCACATCCGTAGCGCCACGGAGAGACTAAACTCAACTGTTATCACACAGAATGCGCTCTAACCAATGGTTACCAACCTCGCCACGAGTCTCGACTGATAGACGCTGGAAAGCTAGCTCGTTCTGGTCTAGTTGAAGCTGGGGTAGAATCTGGGGTAACTTTAAGCACTCAGTGGGTGTCGTAAATGCCTGATAGCGTTTTGATAGCCTGTTTTTCTTTCATCCTTCCCCCTTGATGCTTGATATAGAGATAGCCCTCGCGGATACTTTCCCGTAGAATCCAATCATGATACGATCGTCATTTCTGTCAATTTCCCCAGACTTTTCGCCCCCCTAGCTCTATGAGACAGCTCCATCACGTCCGAGGAAAACAGTATAAAGACTTAGGATCGCCGTCGTGCAGAAAAGATGGATCCCAGCAAGCTCCCACTCCAGGGTCTCATCTCCATACAACAGCTTACCTAAACTTGAATTCCTTTGTGGATATCCTTCATCATGCGTCGAGAAAGTATTCACGATGTCAATATTCCAGCTGGGATGACAGAAAAGTCCCGCGGCTCAATGACGAAAGACGATGGTCTTGACCTCGCAGCTTCACGAAGCATTGACGAAGTTCAGGCTATTGAAATGCAAGAGGGAAAACATGGGCAATTCCATCGATCCTTTACACCACGACAAGTTCATGTAAGTCCAATAAACCAAAATTCCCTCACAATACTAACATGAGACTTTCAAGATCATTGCTCTAGGTTCCAATATCGGCTCGGGCGTCTTCATCGCTACTGGAAAAGCCCTCGCGACTGGCGGTCCAGGAAACATGGTGATTGCATATTTCATGGTGTGCACCTGTGTCTGGGCTGTTCTACAATCGTTGTCAGAAATGACCATTGCGTTCCCTGTTTCAGGAAACTATATCGACTATGCTGATCGTTGGGTTGATCCCGCTCTGGCTTTTGGAGCAGGTTTCGCCGAGTGGCTTGGTTCGTACCCCTGAACTTGATTTTAAGCCATGTGTTCTGACTGTTGATAGGTTGGACTGCTATTGTTTCTGCTGAGGCCGGTTTCTTCCACATCTTGGTAGGATATTGGTCTGGAGGCTCGTTTCCTTTGGCGGCATCACGTAAGTTTCACTTACCAGCCCCTTTTAAATCTAACTAATGAGCCTTGTAGTCAGCATCTTCATGTTCGCCTGTCTCGTCATCTTTCTCCTCCCGAACACCGTATTCGCCTGGTTTGAATATGTAACATCTCTGATCAAGATTTTCCTCTTCTTGATTATCATTACTCTCTCCTTGGCTTTGGTTCTTGGAGCTGGTCCCAACGGTTATGTTCATCACGGAGAGACATGGACTGACCTACCAGCATTCCTGAACGGCTTCTCTGTAAGAATTGGAGCACACCCCTTTGAATTTACTCCCACTAACAACTTCACAGGGATTCGCCAACTGTGCACTCCTTGCTACCTGGGCCGTCGGCGACCAAGTCTTCATCGGTATCATGGGCGGTGAAGCCGAGAGCCCACGTTTCTCCCTCGCTCACGCCACCAAGCTCGTCCCCTTCCGAGTCAACTTCATCTACATGCTCAGCGTCGTCTTCATCACGATTCTCGTTCCTTCCAACGACCCCCGTCTTCTCGGTGGAGGTGGTGTTGCTGCTTCACCCTTTGTCGTTGCTGTTACGGACTCTGGAATTCCCGGCATCTCGTCCCTCCTGAACGCTGGAATGATCTGCGGTGTCCTTGCCATCGCTGCCGAGTCAGTCTATCTCTCATCGCGAGTCCTGCGAACTATGGCCCATCAGGGTCTCATCTCTACCCGCCTCGCACATGTCGATGATAAGGGACGTCCCAGACTTGCTTTGATCATCACCTCTGTTGTTGCTGTTGTTCTCGGATACATTCAGCTTTCTGGTAAGTAGCCCCTCGCAGTCCTAGAATCACAACTAACATTGTTGCAGCTGGCGGTCTTACTGTCTTGAACTGGCTGATCTCCATTACAAGCGCCTCCTTCTTCACAAACTGGATCATTATCTCCTTCACCAACTACCGATTCCACTGTGCTCTGAAGGCCCAGAACGACAAACTCTTCTCAGAGACTTATGCTTGGAGATCCAGCGCTTGGCCCATTGCGCCAGCATGGTTGATGCTCATATCCGTCATGTTGTTGGTCTGCTGTATCTATTCCGGAATCAAGCCTGTCGTAAGTTAACTCAAAATCCTCGAACTATACGAGTAATTATCTAACGAATACACTACAGGGTGGCGCTGGCTTTTCTGCCTCCAACTTCTTCCAATACATGATTGGTGTTCTGGTCATCTTTGGCTTCACTGCTGGATACAAGGTTATCTTCCGAACTCCCTGGAGAGATCCTGCCACCGCCGACTGTCTCACTGGCCGACGACACTTGAGCGTCGAGGAGATCAAGCATCTCGATGAGTACTATGCTAAGCCCAAGTGGAGGCGCTTCCTCACATATGTCCAACTGTGGTAGAAACACCACGTCTTGAAAGTTGCATAATGGTATCGGGGTCTTGGGTACGGATGTATTTCATAGGTTTCGGAAACCACTCACTGCATACTATGAAAATTTTCTCGCATTGGTATCACCTACATATAACATTCGTCTTCAGTGATGTGCTCGTGATTCACGTATGAAAGAAGGAAACTATTCCATTATCAAAGCTGCTGTGGGTAATTTGGAAGAGCCACAGCTGTGTCACTGACTCGACTCACCATCTTAGAAGTTTATTGTGTTCAGTGACTGGCTAGAAATAAAGATAACGAAAGGAAAACCTGCGATGTCAACTTTGCACTTCAGGGGATAGAAGAGAACTGAACATACTGCCCAGCGATACAAGAAGTCAAACGATGAATCTCAATTACACTGTTTGTATTAAAGTTGTCCTTTTCGATATTCATACATCGTCCACATCTTCAGCCATAGGATCCTCCGGCCACGGCCATGTTAAGCTATCGATATCCAGCGAATTAGCAATGTTCAACAGCTGTTCCGCACTAAGTTCATAGTTCAGCCCTAATCCAAAGTCATCATCCGGCTCGATACTAAACGGCTCGGCATAATCGGTGACAGAGCCTGTGCCACTGTCTATGTCATTCATAAAGCCCTGCCGAGGCGTGTTTGGACCCTGTATCGCAACCACAGGTCTCGAGTCATTGCTGGCGAGGAAGCCTTTGAGTAAGTCTTCCAGCTGCTTCAGTTCAGCTGCAACCATGTTAGCTACGAGATTGCCTCTCGAGTTCATCTCGTCGAAGAGACCGTAGGCGCGTTGCGTCCAGGGAGTGTGGTCTGGTAGTAGCGATGAGTCAATCGCAGCGGCCATGAGCAGTGCAATTGTAGCGGTAAAAGCGGCTTCCTGATCGAACTTCAGGAATGTTTCTATGCGAGCATCAGTAACACGCTCAAATAAATGCTGGGACCGGAGAGCTTACCTAAAAGCCCTTGCTCAGAAAGGCTGGAGAGGATCCTCAGAATCTGCTGAGCAGACTCGGTGCACATTTGGACTAGCCCTTTCACACTCTCTGATTGTAGCCAATGCATCAAAGCTACCTCTAAGTGGCCAAGCCTGGAGAGCAGGAACGTGTATAGCAGTGGTCTTGTAGTGAGAATGATGCACTTGTTCCATTAGAAGCTGACAGCCAGAGGGAGACGGACGAGCTTACTTGGTGTTGCATCAAATGGAGATGTGCTGATATTCGTGATATGCCAGCCATTCCCTCGCTTGCCTGAATCTCAAAAGACTTGTTCAATCTTTCTGTCACGGTAGCGATACTTTTGAGAACAGACTGGGTGGCACCGAGGTATCGACTGTCAAGCTTTCCTTCAAGGCCATAAACAGCTGCGATCGTTAGTGACCATGTCTCTGTAGCACAAGAATACGCACTCTGATTTATCTTTGCAAGTACCCTGCAGAAGTCAACATGTATCGTCAGCGCCTCTAACTTTTGCGGCTGGCCTGGGAAGTCGGGAAAGCGTGCGCTTATTGTCTCGTCGGCTATGCTCAGCGGAAGTCCCAGAAGCGAAATCAGCTGGCGTTCGAGGATATAGAGTGTCCAGAACATATGTCGGCTTCTCTGTACGTAAGCTGCGTCAAGAGAATCAGATTGCATCTCAGTGTGTATACCGTGTTCGAGACCATGACGAAGTGCAGAGCAGACCTGATGCCGTTAGTTACCATGCATATGTAAAGAGCCAATTGCTTACCAGACGATATGCCTGTTGTATGTGATCCACAGATTGCAGATATAGAGCAGCGCAGCAAAGAACCTGCATCTCCTCTATTATATCACAGTCAAAGAAGTTGAAGTCGGGCATGAGTTTCATAGCTTGTATGAAGAAGTCACCACCCGGAGGTCGTCTCGACTTGGTTGACTGAACCACGAAAGCCTTCCCAAAAGCCAGGACAAGAAGGTAGTGAACGAACCACAAAGGTTCTGCACGCGCATATTCAGAAGGGTTCTCATGGAACAGACGGAAGCGTTCCATGAAAATGTCCTCATCGAATAGGCTGTACAGCCAACCGCAGTGGAACTTGACCGAGTTGATGAGATATAGAGCAAAGTCTTTAGTTGGCAGGGCAGACATATCTGGAACATCCTGCGATGTAAACTTTCTAGTCCCGTCCCATCTCAGATCAAAGACCTTTCCCTCAGTGCCAGCGAAGTGCAAGTTGTGCATTGATAATGGACGGCCCTTGACACGTTCGTGTGTCATGGTCAAGACTCGCTTGTTGAAGGACCAATTTGATGACGTTCCCATGAAAACTGACGATAAGTTAATACTCGATTTGAGATACTGACTCCTTGGGCGAGTGAGTATGGACTTACGAATGTGTCCTGTGACGCTCGGAACAAAGTCATAAGTGTGGAAGGCTAAAGGATTCGTGAGGGGAGCTTTGCCTTCACCATTGAGCTGTCGCTGATCTTGTGCCTCAGCGGTTCCATATGGTGATATTGACACTGAAGACTTGATTACTTGTTCTGAAATCTCGTTGTTCTCGGTGGAAAGTGGTAGACGATCACCTGGTACCTTAGTAGAAGGCCGATGGGAGACCAACAAAGACTTACTCAAATCGGTGCTCCTTGATCGGCCAGTCGTAGCTTCAAGGAGGGAGTGTTCTTCTGACTTGCTCTCCAAGGCCGCCAACCTCTCTTGGAGGCGGTTGATATACCTGGAAGAGATGTGTAAGTATGACTCCATCAACAGTTCTTGGCATCGACTTACCCTCTCGAAACCACAACTTTACGCGACTCATCATCGAATTGACACACTGAGCCCCTCTTATCACACTGCTGACATGGCTGCGATCCAGAACATCTAATCTTCTGATCTCGACATCTTACACAACTGATAATCTCACAAGTCAGTTGTTGAACCCATGTCGTCAAGATAAGAACATACGCTTTGGGAACACGCTTCCTTGCATTATTTGGTCTGGTAGCATTAGCTCTTGTGGACGCTGACATCACCCTTGGATTCAAAACACAAAAGAGGCACAGAAATGGTTAATGGCAATGATATAGATGTATGAACAAAACAATGGCATCCTTGTGACTCTCCATGCTTGACGGGTAGGTTTCCGCAGAGAGAGCGGGGTAGGGATTGATAGGAACTCAGAGCCGAAGGGTAAGAAGAATGGAAGCATTCTAGAACGTGTGGGTATTGCAAGACGATTGGTATTGCGGAGTTGATCGTCTACTGTTCCTGATTGCGTTAGGTACATCGTTGGTGTTAGTTCAAAGTCCGACTACCGCCTGCAATACGAAAATGGTCACGAAGCAGATCGATCTTATTGACAGGGCGACCTGTGATTCAAGGCATAGATTGAAGCTGGTCTCTAGTCTTATGAAAGCCGAATGATACGACGTTGCAGAGGACGCATGGTACCTCAGTGTTGCGTATTGATGTTTAAAATAGCCTATCATGAGCTTGTCATGGTAGAAGCACATTGACTCATACTGTCTTCAACCATAACGATATCCATGATGGACTCGTTACTCCCTTTGGCCTCACCGAAGACGCCACTCAGCAAGAAATATTTATTTTAGACCACAAGACACGAAATTACTAGGCATTCTCAGGTTCATTCCTGATTCTTCCGACGAGCTGCTTTGTGGATGGACCAGGCTAACGAGCGGCTGAAGGCTGAAGCTTATGGGCTAAGTTGGTGGCTTGCAGGCTGAGCTTTTGCATGTGCGACAAACAAGATCTTTACGGAAGAAAGAGCCCTTGCTATTTGTGCTTATTTTAAGCTTGATTGAAGTCTTGAGTGGTAGGTCGGATTTCTATAAGAGGGGAGCAATACCCATGCATTGAGGCATCATACTCACCTCCGTACATAACACAACACCAACAAGCTCGACTTACACGGCCTAGTAAACAACCACCAATGTTCGGTTTTCATCTCAGCTACCAGTGGCTTCACTACACTCGACCTTCAGGACCTCCATCTACAGTCCCCGAAGGCCTCGAGCGTCACTGGGTAAACACACCACAAGGCCGAATCGAGGTCCTCTCCAACACCCCATCAATCACCAAAAAGTTCAATGGTCCTCCCATAGTCTTCTGCCATGGCGGAATGGGCTGCGCGTGGGTATGGGCAGAATACATGCAATATCTAGCAGCGCGCGGTGTCCAATGCTATGCAGTCTCACTGCGCGGCCACGGCGAATCATGGCATCCATCGTATTTCCGCATGGTTTTTGCAACGCCTCGAAGTGCCTTGACTTCTGATCTCGTTATGGCTATAGAGTGGGTGCAGACGAAGGAGGATAGTGAGGTTATGCTTGTTGGACATTCAAGCGGTGGTGGTTTGAGCCAAGGTGCTCTTAGCGATGGATTGGCTAATGTGAAAGCACTTGCTTTGCTGGGTGCAGTCCCAGGATTTGGATCGTGAGTCAAGATAAATACCTACCTCGAAGCTCCTGCCAGGATACTAACACCATCGCAGAATGGGCGTGTATATGAATTGGTGGAAGATGGACCCATGGTTCACAATACGACTAATCTTCCATCTCTGGCACTCCAACTCACCTCTCTCCCACCCAAAGCTCACTCAAAGAGCCTTCTTTGGCGACAAGTTCCCTCTCTCATCCGTCATCCCTTTCCAACGCCATATGAACCGCTATGAGAGTTACTTGTGGCCTTTCAGCATGATGTACAGCTTCACGTCGCCATCAAACATATTGAGTCATATTCGCAATGACGGCGCGAGCGGCGAAAAGGTGCTCGTCATGGCAGGTACTCAGGATAAGCTCATGACAGGTCCCGTGACGGAGAAGACAGCGACATTTTACCGTGAGGCTGGAAATGACAAGCGAGATGGTGTAAGATTAGAATTCGTTGAGGGAGCAGGGCATCATTTACAGAACGATGTTCAATGGGAAGATGGTGCAGAGAAGTTGTTCGAGTTTTATAAAGGTATTGCATGAGGGTCTTTTTGAGAATGGCCGTGGGTATTGATCATATTCGGTCGGTCAGCCGTTTGTTACATATTCTGTTACTTTAATCGGGACCCTTCCCGTAGAGCGCTCGCAACTCCATCATGATAATTAACATCATTCGATATTCTACGTCCCGAATCAGCGGAAACGCTTACCATATAAAAACATCGGTTCAATGTAATCGGTTCAAGATCCCGAGAGATGACCGAATCATCGTCCACTCAATTCAAACCTCTCACTCCGGTAGCGGCTTCACATAACCCGAGCTAACCTGTACACGACAGTGAGAAAGCTCCGTTCGCTGTGCTGAAAGAAGCAAAAAACGGGGACGGAAGACAGGGGATTCCGGGGCTAGAGTCAGAACACTCAGCGCATTTCCTAGGCGAAGTTCCCTCTTCGTTTTCCCCTGAGGCAATTCGTATAACTCTGAATCAACAACCTCAAATCGCCTTTTTACAGCTTAAAAAACCCTTGGTTGCGTGACGTTTATATCTCGGTGCTTCATAGACCCGAAAAACCCGGCTTCTGTGCCCCGAATCGGAAGCCTACCGACGTTTCCTATCCTCTCGGCCTTCTTCCGTTGCAGCAGGCACATTTGCTTGCGGCACCGCAAAAAAAGAGCACACCCGACCTCAGAAGGCCTCAGGCAGTCAACCTGGCGCCCCTTCAGCGGTTGTCGTCCGTGGCAGTGGGGGTAGGTGCAGCAGCCAGTCGTAGCCTGTTAAGATCGGCACTTGCAATGGAGGGGAGAAAGGTCCAGGTGCCCCGCGCCCCGGAGCTGTCCGCCGAGAGCCCCTCTTCTTCTTCGGCGGGCTTCAAGACGTATTCGGCCGCTGGAACTGCATCTGCGTCGGCCGATAGGATCTCTCTCGTCTCAGGTCACTTGTCGTCTTCTTCTTATACCGCGGCTTCTCCTGCTCAAGCTTCAGTTTCTTCTCAAGCTCGTCGTCTTTCAACATCCACAGCCACCATGTCTTCTCAACCTGAACACGCTACTCTCCTCATCCCCGGACCCATTGAGTTCGATGATGAGGTCCTCAAGTCCATGGGCCACTACAGGTACGATACAATGCGACTTGGATCACGTCCGCGTGATGTGATTGATAATATCTCGTTTGCTAATACCTGTCACACAGTGAGAGCCACGTCGGCCCCGGCTTCGTCAACACCTTCGGCGAGACCCTCACCCTGACCCGCAAGCTGTTCCAATCGACCGACCCCTCGGCCCAGCCCTACGTTATCTCCGGTTCCGGTACCCTGGGATGGGATATTGTTGCTGCCAACCTTGTCGAGGCCGGTGAGAACGCCCTCGTTCTCAGCACTGGATACTTTGGCGATGGCTTCGCCGACTGCCTGCGCGCCTACGGTGCCAACGTCACCAAGCTCGACGGTGAAGTTGGCGGCCGACCTCAGCTCCCCGAGATTGAGAAGGCTCTTTCTGAGAAGAAGTACAAGATCCTCACAGTAACTCACGTCGACACATCGACTGGTGTCCTAAGTGAGCTCAAGAACCTTGCCGCTACTGTCCGCCGTGTCTCCCCTGAGACTCTCGTTATCGTCGATGGTGTCTGCAGTGTTGCCTGTGAGGAGATCGCTTTCGATGAGTGGGGTCTGGATGGTGTTGTTACTGCCAGTCAGAAGGCCATTGGCGTTCCCGCTGGTCTCTCCATCTCATTCTTCAGCGGCCGAGCTGTCGCCGCCGCTCTTGAGAACCGCAAGACCCCCATTCCCGCTTACTTCGCCTCCCTGAAGAACTGGACACCCATCATGAAGAACTACGAGGCCAAGAAGCCCTCTTACTTCGCTACTCCTTCTCCTCAGCTCATCCACGCCCTCCACACTGGCCTTACTCAGATCTTCACCAAGCCCCTATCCGAGCGATTCCAGGGCCACATCGAGGTCTCCAACAAGGTCAAGAAGGCTGTTACCGACCTTGGTCTGAAGGTCGTTGCTACTAAGCCTGAGGACCAGGCTCACGCCATGACTGCTATTTACCTGCCCGATGGCATTGGCGCTGCTGATGTTCTGCCCAAGTTGGCCGCCAAGGGTGTTGTCTTTGCTGGTGGTATTCACAAGGCCATTGCTCCCAAGTATATCCGATTCGGCCATATGGGAGTCAGTGCTGTAAGTGTATCTGAATTTGTTCACCCCAGATAACCTGCTAACATAGTTTTGATAGCTTGATCCCAGCCGAAACCACATCGAGAAGGCTCTCAGCGCTCTTAAGGACAGCTTGTTCGAGGTTGGCTACAAGGCTTAAAGGGGAATGGACGAATATCAACATCGCTTGAAGACGGTCAGAAGACGGCACATTGCCAGCTCCTGGCCGTTTATGCAAAAAAAGTTAAATAATGAAACTATGGCTGGCCATGTATGGATATCTGGATACAAACGGAGCCAACTATAGAGGGTTGGCCAGTATTGTCTTTTGTCGATAGAGCGAGCCTTGAAAAAATATGATACTTTGATAACCGACGTGTTTAGCCATGGTTCGTTGAGTTTTGTGAGCTATCATTTTATGCCTGGTGATGTTATCTGCTGTCATGAAGGGTGCAATATCTCTCTCGTTTATGCAGAACATCAACGCTAGACACAGTTCATGACAGCTTAAATATGAACATGCTTGACGAGACAGTCCTGGATATGTTTGGTTCGTGGTCGTTATCATCAAGCCATGTCAGATTACGATCGTGATTCGGGTAGCCGCATGCGGTAATTTCAGCTCGCAGCTTTTGTACAAGATTGACAAACACGCGCTGTTGTCAAACCCAGAGCGAATCATGAGATCGATCGATTAATTATGCGCCCGGGAGGCTGGGGAGTTTTGGTAAGTTCAAGTACCGCTACAAAGATCCCAGCGTCATGGGTCCGACAATCCGTTAGCTGAGTTCCCTTTTGGTATGAGAAATGCGCAGTGACAGCATCAACCGCCGTCACGGATCAAAGTAGAGATACATTGATGTGATAGTGACATGACATGACAGGCAACCCTCCATCAGACTTCTCGTTTTCAAGCCCCGCTGCTGACAAAACCGCACTCAGTGTGAGACATGCGGATATAGGGATCCAGTCTGTTAAGATCGAGAGACAGGAGCTCAGAGCTTGACCTGGTTGCTGGTGGTTACTGGAACTTACCTCAAGGACCTTAGGTAGTTATAGCGCAGTGACGCAGGCAGGCTACGCTGCGGGGCATTTCTGTGCTCGGTACTCCACTAAAGGTACTGTATTCACAGTGCTTTTGCTCCCCTTCAACCCCACTCTCGTCCACTTCAAGCCGTCCAGACCATCTCTTCACACCTCACCTCACCTCACCGACGTCGTCCACTTTGCCTTGCCTTAGTTTGCTTTTACCAAAGCCGAACTTTGCATTTCTCCTCTTTTTCATTTTTCCCACGCGAACCCCGACAAATATTCACATCGCCATATCCCATCTCCCTCTCTAGCCCTCTCTTCTCTTGTTATAGAGAGCTAGCTGCGCCACTGCTTCTCTGATCTATATCTGCCTGGGGCTGGTATTTGCTTGGATCTTCTCTCTCCCCCCGCCTCGCCTCGTCTCGTTCGCCCACCACAACCACCACCTCCAACCGCCAACCTCTTTCTCTCCCACCTCCTAACGATCCTCTCGTGAACCCGAAATAACCACACGAAATGGCCGCCTCCATTGAAGAGCTGGACGTCCTCGTCCGCTCCTTCTACGAGGGGCGCGGTGAGCAGGTAGGTAGTCTTTTGGGCGTCGGTTTTTACCAACCGCGGACCCCGCGCGTCGACATGAGTGAGGAACTATAGCTAACTCGGCCTCGTTAACCGTCTAGCAAAAAGCCGCCCAAGCTGCTCTCAACCAGGTTCGTACCGATCTAGCTCTCGGCTGGTGTACAGCTTTTTACTGACTTGAGCTGCAGTTCAAAGAGGACCCCGATGCGTGGCTCATGGTCGACAAGATCCTCTCGGATGCGCAGTACCCTCAAACCAAATGTGTGTAGCCTCGGCTTTGCGCCACTTCCCATGCTGTGCTGCCTCCAAGCCAGCTCTCCTCCCTTCGATCTTTGCGAATACTTGACTTGTGAATCCACTCGACTGACAAATTTTGACAGACTTGGGTCTGCAGGTTCTGGACAATGTGATCTTGACAAGATGGAAGGTCCTCCCTCGGGAGCAGTGCCAAGGTCCGTCCTCACCGCGATAACAGCTTAGCAACCAACTCTGACGACCTGTAACTCGTAGGAATCCGAAACTTCATCGTCCAGTTCATTATCCAGTGCTCGAGCACCGAAGAGTCGCTGCGCCAGCAAAAGACCTTGCTCAACAAGCTTAACCTCGTCCTCGTTTCCGTCCTCAAGCAGGAGTGGCCTCACAACTGGCCTACCTTTATCAACGAAATCATCTCGTCCTGCCACTCCAATCTATCCATCTGCGAGAACAACATGATCATTCTTCGCTTGCTCTCGGAGGAAGTTTTCGACTACTCAGCCGAGCAGATGACATCGACCAAGACACGCAACCTCAAGCAGACCATGTGCGCCGAGTTCTCGCAAATCTTCAACCTTTGCCAAGAGGTCCTCAACACGGCCACACAGCCTAGTCTGATCAAGGCGACCCTCGAGACCCTTCTGCGATTCTGCAACTGGATCCCCTTGGGATACATCTTCGAGACACCGCTTATCGAGACACTGCGAACCCGTTTCCTCTCGACGCCGGAGTTCCGCAACGTCACCATGCAGTGCCTTACTGAGATTGGTGGTCTTCAGACTGGCGGCCCCGGCCAGCCCAACTCTTACGACGAGCAGCTTGTTAAGATGTTCACCGAGACCTTGACTACCATTGCTAACATCATTCCCGTTTCTCTTGATCTCAAGAGCACATATCCAAGCAGCAACTCGAGGGATCAGGAGTTCATACAAAACCTGGCTCTCTTCCTTTGCAATTTCTTCGGAATGCACTTGAATGTAGGTTTTATGCTGTTTTTGATACCCGGACGAATCTAACATAATTATGATAGCTTATCGAGAAACTCCCCAACCGCGATTTCCTCATCCATGGTCACTACTATCTTATTAGGATATCCCAGATCGATGATCGAGAAATTTTCAAGATTTGCCTCGACTATTGGCTCAAGCTCGTCCAGGAGCTTTACGAGGAGATGCAACAGCTTCCCATGACCGACCTGAACCCTCTCATGGCAGTTGGCGCAGGAATGTCTGGAAGCGGCGCCCCGAACCCTACAATGCTCAACAACTACCCTCTTCGAAAGCACAAATACAACGAGGTCCTCTCGAACCTTCGAGTCGTTATGATCGAGAAGATGGTCCGTCCCGAGGAAGTCTTGATTGTTGAGAACGACGAGGGTGAAATTGTCCGAGAATTCGTCAAGGAGAGTGACACAGTACAGCTTTACAAGACGATTCGAGAGTGCCTGGTCTACCTGACACATTTGGACGTGGTCGACACAGAAAACATCATGACCGAGAAGCTTGCTCGACAAGTCGACGGAAGCGAGTGGTCCTGGCATAACTGCAACGTTCTTTGCTGGGCCATCGGCTCGATCTCTTTGGCAATGAACGAGGAGACAGAGAAGAGGTTCCTTGTTACTGTCATTAAGGATCTCCTCGGTCTTACTGAAATGAAGCGAGGCAAGGACAACAAGGCTGTTGTCGCCAGTAATATTATGTACATCGTCGGACAGTACCCCCGCTTCCTCAAGGCTCATTGGAAGTTCCTTAAGACAGTTGTCAACAAGCTGTTCGAGTTTATGCACGAGTCACACGAGGGTATGTGAAAACAGCTTGAGCTGACTGTTAAAATGCTAATCAACATTGGTTTAGGTGTCCAGGACATGGCTTGCGATACGTTCATCAAGATCGCTCGCCAGTGCCGACGTCACTTTGTAGCCCTGCAACCCAGTGAGCAGGAGCCTTTCATTGAGGAGATTGTTCGAAACATGGGCAAGATCACATGCGACTTGACACCTCAACAAGTACACACCTTCTACGAGGCCTGCGGTTACATGGTTGCCGCCCAGGGCAACAAGCACCAGCAGGAGAGACTCCTTGCCGACCTGATGGCTATCCCCAACGCAGCCTGGGATGAGATCATCAAGCAGGCAACAGTGAACCCAACTATCCTCCAGGATGCCGAGACTATCAAGGTTATTGGAAACATCATGAAGACCAATGTGTCTGCTTGCTCATCTGTGGGGTCCTATTTCTATCCCCAGATCGGCCGCATCTACCATGACATGCTTCAGATGTACAACGCCACAAGTACACTGATCTCTGAGGCTGTGGCTCGCGATGGTGAACTCGCTACCAAGATGCCCAAGGTCCGAGGTCTCCGAACCATCAAGAAGGAGATCCTCAAGCTCATTGAGGTGTACGTCGATAAGGCAGAGGATCTTCAGGCCGTCCGTGCCCAGATGGTTCCTCCTCTGCTCGAATCTGTTCTTGTTGACTACAACCGCAACGTCCCTGGTGCCCGAGATGCCGAGGTGCTCAAGGCTTGCTCTACTATTATCACCAAGCTTTCTGTCAGTATTCCCTTATGGAGATTTGCAGGATTTTGTACTAACGAGTGACAGGCTTTGATGGAGGACCAAGTTCCTACTATCATGCAGAATGTTTTTGAGTGCACTCTGGAGATGATCAACAAGGACTTCTCTGAATTCCCCGAGCACCGAGTCGAGTTCTTCAACCTCCTCCGAGCCATCAACTTGCACTGCTTCCCTGCCCTGCTCAAGCTCGACAACAACCAATTCAAGTTTGTTATCGACTCATGCTCATGGGCTTTCAAGCATGACAACCGAGATGTCGAGGCGGCCGGTCTTAACATGGCTCTGGAGCTGATCAACAACATTGCCGAGAAGACTGATGTGCAGACGGCCAACGCTTTCTTCCAGCGATTCTTCATCACCATCCTCCAGGACGTGTTCTTCGTTGTGACCGACAACGATCACAAGGCCGGTTTCAAGACACAATCCATGTTGTTGATGAAGCTCTTTTACTATATCAACCCCGCCGATGGGTCTCAGCCCAAAATCCAGGGTCCTATCTACAGCCCCGATCAGGCCCAAGCTGGAACTGATAACCGAGAGTTTGTCGCCAACTTCGTCGCTAACCTCCTACAAAACGCCTTCCGCAACCTGCAAGCGTACGTATCACCTCTACCGTCTTTGTAACCAAGCTAATCTTTATATAGGAACCAAATCACAAGCTTCGTCGAAGGCCTCTTCACGCTTAACACGCAGTACGACAAATTCCGACTCAACCT